GTTTGCGGCTTTATTAGACAGTGGGTTGACGATAATGTTTTGAACCATATTTCTGGGGAGACACATGCTCGGACACTATGGGAGCACCTTGAAAGTTTGTATGTTCGGAAAATTGGAAACAACAAGATGTTTTTGATAAAGCAGATGTTGGGTTTAAAATACCATGATGGTTCGCGATCATAGATCCTCTAAATAATTTTTAGGGGATCATGAACCAGTTATCTGCTATGGGCATTAAATTTGATGAAGAAATTCAAGGTCCGTTTCTACTTAGTTCCCTACCAGATTCTTGGGAAATTCTTAGAACTTCATAATCAAATTCTGCTCCAGATGGTGTGATCTCCATGGATCTTGCCAAAACCAGTCTTTTAAATAAAAAGATGAGAAAAAAATCTCAAGGTTCCTCTTCATCAGATGTATTGGTGACTGACTCTAGGGGGAGAAACAAGAATCAGAGTTCTCAAAATAGAGAACATAATAGAAGCAAATCCAAAAGCAGACTTAAAGATATTGAGTGCTCTCATTGCAGGAAGAAAGGGAACATAAAAAAGTTCTGCCGGATTTTGAAAAAGGAGAATAGAGGCAAAGAAGAACATAAAGAAGATGGAAATCGTGTGGCCACCGTCACTACAGAAGATCTTGTTACTGTCCTTGATGCGGATCTGATAAATATTGCTTGTGATGAGTCAAGCTAGGTTGTGGACAGTGGTGCCGCATCTCATGTGACATCAAATAAGGAATTCTTCTCATCCTATACTCAGGGTGACTTTGGAACTTTGAGTATGAGTAATGAGATTGTATCTAGGGTGGCTGGTATTGGAATAATTTGTTTGGAAACTAGTTTTAAACAATGTAAAACATGCACTTGATGTTCGTTTACACTTGATCTCTGTTTGTGTTTTGGATGATGAGGGATATGTCAGTACCAATGGTGCTGGAAAGTGGAAGCTCACTAAGGGTTCCATAATTGTGGCTCGTGGGGAAAAGCGTTGTGGTCTATACTGGACTACGGCCTCTACCTATGTTAATATGGTGAATGCCGTTGAGAGCAATAACTCTTCAACGTTATGGCATAAGAGGCTTAGCCACATTAGTGAGAAAAGACTAAATGTTCTGGCCAAGAAGAAATTGTTGTCAAATTTTGAAAGTGCAAAATTAGAAAAATATGAGCACTACTTAGCTGGAAAACAAAAAAGAGTTTCTTTCCAGTCTCATCCTTCTTCAAGAAAGACAGAGTTGCTTGAGTTGGTGCATTCAGATTTATGTGGTCCAAAGAAGACAAGGACTTTGGGTGGTGCACTTTATTTTACTACCTTTATTGATGACTGCTCAAGGAAACTTTGGGTCAACATCTTGAAGACTAAAGACCAAGTGTTGGGTATCTTTAAGCAGTTTCAGGCTTCAGTTGAAAGAGAAACTGGAAAAAAGCTGAAATATATTCGTACTGATAACAGTGGTGAATATTGTGGACCATCTGACGAATACTGCAAGCAACAGGGTATCAGGCACCAGAAGACTCCTCCTAAGACTCCTCAACTTAATGGTCTAGCAGAAAGGATGAATAGGACCTTGATGGAAAGAGTCAGATGTTTGCTTTCTGAAGCAAAGTTGCCGAATTCCTTTTGGGGTGAGGCTTTGTTGACTGGCACACATGTTATTAATCTATCCCCTACGGTTGCTTTACAAAGTGATATTCCAAACAGAGTTTGGTATGGCAAGGATGTCGCCTATGACCACTTGAAAGTGTTTGATTACAAAGCTTTTGTACATGTGCCTAAAGATGAGAGGTCAAAATTAACTGCCAAGACAAGGCAATGCATCTTCATTGGTTATGGCCTTGATAAGTTTGGTTACAAGCTATATGATCTAATTGAGAAGAAGGTTGTGATAAGTCGTGATGTTATCTTCGTGGAGGATCAACTATTGAAGATATTAACAAAGCGGAGAAGCTAAAATCTCCAAGTTCTGAAGGTTTAGTTAATCTTGATCAAGTTCCTCATACAAATGCGGATGAAGTTGGTGGGCTCAATGATGACGGTGATGCCCAGAACCATATTCCGGATCAACATATTGATGGTAATGGTGATAACAATGCTAATATTGATGAGGTATATGCTCATACTCACGAAGCTGTGGGCGAGTTAGATATTCCACTCAGGAGGTCTTCTAGACCTCGTACTCCTTCCTCCCGTTATTCATCCAATGAGTATGTATTATTCACTGATGGGGGAGAACCTGAATGTTATGCGGATACCATAGAAGATGAGCATAAAGATCAATGGATTGAAGCCATGCAAGATGAGATGAAATCTTTGCATGAGAACCATACTTATGAGTTAGTGAAATTGCCTAAGGGCATGAGAGCTTTGAAGAACAAGTAGGTGTTCAAAGTTAAAGCTGAAGAACATAGTTTGAAGTCCAGATACAAAGCTAGATTGGTTGTCAAGGGATTTGGTCAAAGGAAAGATATTGACTTTGACGAAATATTTTCTCCTGCCATGAAAATGTCCTCCATTCGGACAGTTCTTGGTTTGACTGCCAGTCTTGATTTGGAGATTGAGTAGATGGATGTAAAGACTGCTTTTCTTCATGGTGACTTAGAAGAGGAGATTTATATGGAACAACCTGAAGACTTCAAGGTAAAAGGTAAAGAAAATCTTGTATGCAAACTTAAGAAGAGTCTATACGAAATGAAGCAAGCTCCCAGACAGTGGTATAAAAAGTTTGAGTCTATTATGGGGGAGCAAGGCTACAAGAAGGCTTCTTCTGATCACTGTGTATTTGTACAAAGATTTTCTGATGATGACTTTATCATCCTCTTGCTATATGTGGATGATATGTTGATTGTGGGCAGGAATGCTTCCAAGATTGACGAGTTAAAGAAACAGTTGAATAAGTCTTTTGCAATTGAAGACTTGGGTCATGCTAAGCAGATTTTAGGCACGAGAATTACTCGTTCGAGAAATGAAAGAAAATTTTACTTGTCATAGGAGAAGTACATAGAACGTGTACTAGAGCGCTTCAATATGAAAAATGCTGAGTTGGTTCGCACACCCCTTTCTGGTCATATGAAGTTGAGCAAGAAGATGTGTCCTACAACAATGGAGGAAAAAGAGAGAATGGCCAAGATTCCATATTCCTCTGCCGTCGGAAGTTTGATGTATGCAATGTTATGCACTCAACCAGGTATTGCTCTTGCAGTCGGTGTTGTTAGCAGATTCCTTGAAAATCCTGGAAAGGAACATTGGGAAACAGTCATGTGGATACTCAGGTACCTAAGATGTACTGTAGGAGATTGCTTATGTTTTGGAGGATCTGATTCAATCTTGAAGGGCTACACGGATGCTGATATTGCAGGTGATCTTGATAATCATAAATCTACTATGGGATACCTGTTCACATTTTCAGGGGGAGCTATCTCATGGAAGTCGAAGTTGCAGAAATGTATTGCACTCTCTACAACTGAAGCAGAGTATATTGCCACTACAGAAGCTGGTAAGGAGATGGTATGGCTAAAGCGGTTTCTTCAAGAGCTGGAATTACATCAAAAGGAGTATGTCATCTATTGTGATAGTCAAAGTGCAATAGACTTGATCAAGAACTCCATGTACCATGCAAGAACAAAGCATATAGATGTGAGATATCATTGGATTCGTTAGCGCGTGGGGAACGAATCTTTACAGGTCAAAAAGATTCACACGAGTAAAAATCTTGCGGATATGCTAACCAAGATAGTACCAAGAGACAAGTTCGAGCTTTGCAAAGAACTTGTCGGCATGCGCTCAAACTAGAATCTCTGGTGTTACCTCCTTCAGGCGAATGAGACTGGAGGGGGAGATTTGTGGGGTCCATCCCATAAATCAAGGAAGATAATTTTCTTCCTTTGATTGGCAGCTACCATTTTTTCTTTTGCACTGTTAAATATGGTAGGCTGCAAAAGAAAAAGAAGTCAAGTTTGGTAGGCATAACAAATCTGTATGAGAGAAAAATGTCAAACGTAGTAGGCGTGAGAGAGTGAGGTTCTGCCTATAAAAGGAGAGATTCAGCTCTCATTTTTATACACCAACAAAGAGAGAAAAGAGAGAGAGCAAGGTATTCCATAGACTATAAGAAAATAGTCTGTGAAGAAAAATAGAGTGTGAGAGATATTGTAGTGAGGTGAAAAAACAAAAGAGCATTTTTTCTTTTGAGGGTGTAGTGATCTTAGGAGTATTTGTACTCGTTACTATACAGTGCAAAATTCCTCGCTATAGTTCAGTTGCTCTTCTTGGCCGTGGTTTTTTCCCTTATTCAGAAGGGTTTCCACGTAAAATCTTGGTGTTATTTTTGCTGCATTTTTATTCTTGCTGATTTAACCATAACTTAGTGGTCCGCATTTATCACTAATACCGTGAATATTATTTTTACGGGTTTTATTCCCAACAGATAAACCTATAAATATCATTTTATAGCATTTAAAATAAATATAAAAATATGTCATTTTTTAGACATATGAAGAAATACCATCATATAAATTAAGATAGAGGGAGTCATCATATATATAGATAAACCTATAAATATCATTTCTACTTTTATTTTTCCCCGGTAAGTGTACATACCTAATTGGTAATACTCAGTATTTCCTTGTGCGCGCGTATATAGTCAACAGTGTCAAAATAATTTCCAATTGTGTGTATATATATGTGTCCATCAAAATGGCGCAGGCAATCAATCTATATCAGTTCATTAACCATGGCCACGGCTTCGGCATTATTATCATCGCCATCACTTGTTTCCATTTGTGACAAATCCTTCATCAAACCTTCTTGTCTTACCCCTCCTAAGCTTAGACTTCACAAGCTCTCTTTCGTCGATCAATTCCTCAGTAATAAGTATATTCCTGTGGCCTTTTTTTACCCTAAACCGCAACGAGAAGAGTCAAACAATAATTCCCAACTTTCCCATATAGCTGATTTATTGCAGAGATCTCTATCACAAACTNTCCGTGTTCTCCACAGCAGCTACGCAAGATATTGAGTTGCCAAGAATGGTTCGTAATCTGAGGAAGGAAGTTGAGGTAGCGTACAAGAAAGACCAAGTTGAACAAAATGAACTGGTCTTAGAAGTAGTAGAATCCATGAAAAAAGGAAAATTACCATTTGAAGAAAACGACGAAAATAGTACGTATTTTTGCAGCAACCTTTGCAAATTCCCATTATACAGTGTAGATTTTGGATGGGGAAAACCTGAAAGAGTGTGTCTAGCAAATGGTCCTTCCAAGAATTACTTCTTCTTGAAAGATTACAAAACTGGGCGAGGCGTTGAGGCGCGAGTGATGTTGCAGAAACAACATATGTCTGCATTTGAATGTGATGAAGGACTCCTTCAGTTTGCCTCCTCCTCGGGAGTTTGAAATCTGCATTTCTGTTGATTTTGTATGATTTTACTACCGTATTTTATGGTTAACACTGATATTGTTCAACTTTAAGCTACTAAGTTATTTCAACGTTCAATATTAAGAATTTAATCCTATCTGAGTTATATATTTACTCCCTTAAAATTTATGATTTTAAGCATGTTATAACATTTGTTAAAAATTCACAACAAAAATGAAATTCGTGGAGTTTAAGGAAGAAAGAAATTTATAATTTTAAACACGTCATAACAATTACACGACTTCGAAACTTGTAATTTTAATTATTGCAAAACACAACAAGAAATTCATGCTCGCTGGCCAAAGATAGTATAATTTAATTATCGTGTCCACAACATCTTCACTCTTCGTAAGTTTCTCACCAACCTCAGCAGTGGTAACTTGAACACTTTCAATCAACTCTTGTATTTCTTGAAAACAATCATAATTATTCAAATCATAAATTTCCAAATAATTAGTTGCCAACACCTTAAAACTTTCAATTGTCAGGTAAGACATGTGAATATGCTTGTCCATTCGTCCAGGTCGCAACAGAGCTGGATCAAGCTTCTCCTTATGATTCGTCGTAAATATAATAACCCTCTCATCTCCAATACTCGACCATAGCCCGTCTATAAAATTCAGTAATCCACCAAGTGTAAGNAGTGGCATCCTATCTTGATCTCGTGAACGAGAATGACCATATACTGCGCGATTTTTAGTTCTATCTGGCAAATCAATGCTACAATCAATGTCTTCAATGACAAGTATATATAGACCTATTTTTGGTGCTCATCAACAACCTTCTCAAATCTGCGTCGCTCGTTATATTAGAAAACTCTAAATCATAAACGTCAAACTTTAGATAATTAGCAATTGCTGCAATCAAACTTGATTTCCCTGTCCCTGGCGGTCCATACAATAAATATCCTCTTTTCCTACTCTCTTATAAAAATCATGTTGCGGAAGCCAAATGTATATAGTGTGAATAAGTCACAACTACTATACCAAAAATTTTGACAGCCACCAAATAATAAATAAGACAATAAAACAATAATAAAGGGAATACCAGAATTTACGAGGTTCGGCTAATTTTGCCTACTCCTCGGACACAACCAATATTTTATTCCACTCCAAAAATACAAGTGAAATAATACTAAAGAGAGAAGATACAAATATCTTAAACAGAGGAAAAGGCAAATGAGAGGTGTGTTTAAATCCTAAACATTATGCCTTCTTTTATAGGGGGAAATCCCCCCAAACTCAAGAGCCCACCGATGTGGGACAAAGAATTTGCCAAACTTCAACAAATCTCCACCTTGGCAAAATTTCACATCTTCAATTTTCTCTCAATAACAAATTTCAAATTTTTGATTGTGTCTAAATCTTCAATCTTCAGTGTTCAACAATGTTGATCAAATCTAAACAATGTTGAAACTTGATCGCATTCACCACCTTTGTCAGCATATCAGCAGGATTCTCCGTAGTATGAATTTTCTTCACCGTGACTCCTCCTTCTTCTATGATTTCTCGTACGAAATGATACCGAACATCAATATGCTTCGTCCTTGCATGATAAACTTGGTTCTTCGCTAATTGAATAGCACTTTGACTATCACAAAAAATTGTGATACCTTTTTGTTCAACACCAAGCTCCTTTAGCAATCCTTGAAGCCAAATTGCCTCCTTCACAACCTCTGTAATAGCCATGTACTCTGCCTCTGTTGTAGACAAAGCAACTGTTGACTGCAAAGTAGACTTCCAACTAACTGGTGCCTTTGCAAAAGTAAACACATAACCAGTAGTTGATCTTCGTTTGTCCATATCACCCGCAAAATCTGAGTCACAATATCCAACTACAAACTGATTGTCTTCCTGCTCAAAAACTAACTCGACATCTACAGTATTATGAATATACCGTAGAATCCACTTCACAGCTTACCAATGCTCTTTCCCTGGATTGTGCATATATCTGCTAATAACTCCAATAGCATGTGAAATGTCAGGCCTTGTGCAAACCATTGCATACATCAAGCTACCAACAACATTTGCGTATGGTACCTTTGACATATACTCTCGTTCAGCTTCATCCATTGACGATATAGTAGTACTTAGCTTAAAATGGAAGCAAGTGGAGTACTAACTGGCTTAGTCTTGTCATCTATGCCAAAACGTTGAAGTACTCTCTTCAAATATTCCTTTTGAGATAAATAGAGTTTCTTTGAACTTCTATCTCTAATTATCTCTATGACAAGAATTTTCTTTGCCTCACCCAAATCGTTCATCTCGAACTCCTTCTTCAGTTGAATCTTCAACTTATCAATTTTTTTTCGAATTCTTGGAAGCTATCAACATATCATCAACATATAGGAGAAGATATACAAAGGAACCATCTTTAAGCTTGTGTAAATACACACAATGATCGTATTTGCTTCTCTTGTACCCTTGCTGCAACATAAACTCGTCAAATCGCATGTACCATTGTCTAGAAGATTGTTTCAATCCGTACAACAATTTTTCAAGTTTGCACACCATATTTTATTTTCCAACAACTTTGAATCCTTCTAGCTGAGTCATATAGATTTCCTTCTCCAAGTTTCCATGTAAAAATGCAGTTTTTACATCCATATGAACTAGTTCCAAATCTAATTGTGCTACAAAAGCCAACATAATTCTAATGGAGGAATGCTTTACAACTGGAGAAAACACTTCATTGTAATCAATTCCCTCCTTTTGAGCATATCCTTTGGCCACCAATCTTGCTTTGTAGCGAACATCTACTTGGTTAGGAAATCCTTCCTTCTTTGCAAATACCCATTTGCACCCAATTGCTTTCTTTCCCTTCGGGAGATTGGCCAATCTCCATGTATGATTCTGATGAAGGGACTGTATTTCATCATTCATGGCAATCCTCCACTTATATTCTTCTGAACTTTGGACAACGTCTTTATAAGTGGTAGGAACATCATCAGCTACAATTGAGGTTGCACAAGCAATCGTCTCTATGAGACGAACAGGTTTCGTTATTGTTCTTTTTGGCCTGTTGATTGCTATTGATTCAAGTTGTTGTTGAGGTTCCTGAGTTGGAATCTCCTCTACTGGCTCTTCTTCCAGAGGGTAATCTTCATTTGTTTCCTCCTTTGCTTATTGTGTAGGAAAAATAAATTTTCCCTCAAACTCCACCTGCTTAAAAGCACCTTCATTTTGTTTGGTATCTTCTATTACCTTATTTACCATAGCAGATTCATCAAAGGTAACATCCCTGCTGAATATTACTTTCTTTGTCATAGGACACCATAAGCGATATCCTTTGACTCCAGAAGTAATTCCCATAAAAATAACCTTCTTTGCCCTTGGATCCAATTTTGACTCTGTCACATGATAATATGCAGTTGAGCCAAACACGTGCAAAGAATCATAATCTACAGCAGGCTTTCCATACCATTTTTCAAATGTTGTCTTGCCATCAATAACAGCAGATGGTAGACGATTAATGAGGTGGCATGCATATGTAATTGC